GTGCCATCAGCTCAGTAACAGGCCAGCAGAACGAAGGGAGAAGCCTTCCTCGTTTTTTGGGGTTGGGGATGTAAAAGAAAACACAACAAGGAAGCTTCCTCCTTCTGAGAAACGTAGCTTTGATCATTTAATTAGTATTGAACTCATATTTGGTGGAAGAGTTTGGAAATGAAATCTTAGAAAGGCTATTTTTAGGCTTTAAGTACATCAGAGTAAAATTTTTATGTGAAATGAAGCTGGAAAAAATAGGTCACCTTCCTGAAAAAGCTGGTAAGGATTATATCAATCTTCTGAAGACCAGCAGGGACATTCTGCGTCATGTAGCCTTTCCCTTCACTGAGTATATAATATAAATCCACTTGACAATATATGCTTTATGCAGGCTTTATCATCATGACCTAATCTCTCTCTATTTCTTGTGTATGGCATTATGAAAAAGAAACAATTGATTCTGAATCTGCATCCAAATTACCAAACCATTAATAGAGCACATGGAAGCTGAATCAGTTTTCCCTTACATATCTTGCATAACTTGTATGTGCTATGTTCCATAATCCATGTCACAGCAGGTGTGATCACTTCATGGCTAGTCATTATGTATCAATTAATTTAGACTATACCTAGCAGAGCTCGAGTTGCTCAGGTGAGGATAGCTCGTTATCAAAAAGATGAAGGGTCAACATCTATTTATTTCCTGATTCTTACATAGTTCTAATGCTTACATTTCATGCTGCTGCATTAGAAGATCTCTATCTTGTTTAAGAAACAAAGTCAGATAAGTGCAAAAGTGAGTGCTAGGAAATGTTATCATGAGATCACAAAGGGCTTTTGTGTTTATACACATATATATACTATGTATATTCATAAGTACTCATTTTATAAAAACATACACCCACACAAACACACTGTGTATTGTACACATTCTCTGATATCTAGAAATGCTCTGTTGCCAAATCCATGCTCTCCTGCCTTTACAGCCAAGTGTCTTATTTCCATAAATGCCAATCTGTTGACTTCCTTCAGAAATGTGAGACATCCCCAAAAGTTGCTGTAAAAAAATGGCTTCTGAATATTAACATCAGAAAAGCTGTTGGAACTTCAAGCCTGTCTGTGGCAAACTGCTCCATTAGTGATGCCCTACAAAGATGTAAGTACTAAGACAAAAAGTAGGTCAACGTGGAGCAAAATGCAAAGAGGGGGAAAGGCTTCTGTGTTGCCAACGTATTTCTGCTCAACAGTGTATTAATTATCATGAGAATTCCTGACTTTCAAACTAACCCTTCACCTGAAAAGCTCTGAACAAGAAAATTAGAGGTTTTGTGATAAACAGTTTTCTGAGGAAATTATCCATCAGTTGACTCCTCTTAAGATCTGATAATTAAACTTAGCAGCAATGGGTATAGGATTCAGTGATAATGGAGAAGCTGGTTAATAGAATGTAAATCTCCATCAAGATACACAGAAAACCTGAAATATGTAGAGTAACTCAGCAGTTGTAATCTCATAAGTAGCAGAATCTGTGGCTGAAAACTTCCAAAAACATAAGAAGCAATAATTTACTACGCTACGCTGCAGCTCAATATTTAATAATCACATAAATTCTCTCTATCTGTTTTTGTTGTTGTTCGTGGTGGGTTTTGTGTTTTTTTTTTAGCAGCTGGCAATGAAAGGTAGATTGAGGGTCAGATTTTTTGAATTTTTAATTGCATTCCAATGATTTTCCTTTAGATTTGTGAGCTTGAGACCAGTTCGTTTTAGTCTTTGTCTCCTGACACTTGTGTGTTGTGGCTCTTGGACCTCAGAAATTAGTGTATAAATATATGTCCACTCTTACCTGTTCTTCAGGGTTTGACTCACATATCCACTCTTATCTGTTCTACAGTGCTTGATTCATATGTCCACTCTTATCTGGTTTTAAATGTTTAACTCACTTGTGTGAATTAGAAACAGATTTATGTTGTCTATTTCATACAAAAATAAGTGTGCATATGCACATGTGCTTCCTTTGGAAGAAAATATAAGGAGAACTTTTTTTTTTTTTTAGTATTAAAATAGAGGACACTCCCTTTTTTTCGCAGAGCACTGTATGTTAATAGAAATATTGGTAAGAAAAGCTGCTGCCTAAGAGAAACAGCAATAAACTGCAGCATAAACAAACAAAATCTAACTGCTGACAAGAAGTTCAACTACAGTCAAGTTATTAAGACTGAAGACAGCAAGATGAATACCTCTTTCTTTCTGATTCCTGTTTTCATGTGTCTGTCAAGCAGAACCACTAGAAAACCAAAAGCACTGGAGATAATGCACCATGGATACTGTGGCTTTACATATAAGAATGAGAAATGTCCCTAACAGAACAGAAAGTGCACTTTTCAAAAACATGTTGGCTTTCTTAACAGGTTAACACTTCTGCTCATGTTGCAGCCGTCTGGGTGCCTCAATGAGCACAAAACTAATTCTCCCTAATGTCCAAGAAACTGATGTCACTCATTCGAAAATGAAATTAATTTAATGTCTTATAATTTTATATACAAGCCACATCTGTGATTGTGTTTGCAGAGTATATTCTGATCCTTTCACTGTTGTGGTTTTTTGGTTGTTTTGTTGCTTGTTTCTTTTAGCAATTATCAGTAGTTTATGAAAAAAAAATAACTTCAGAAGTACTTAACTAGCCAAACCACAAATACTATTCCTTCCTGTTTGGTAATGAGAGCTAATTCCACTATTTAGTTACTATTTCATACTCAACTTACAATTTCCCTTTATGAATTTCCTTTTTCTTTTCTGAATGGCTCCTCCTTCCTCTGCTTGAATCAAAGAAAAGGAGACAGCATCATGTGGCACAACAGATTACTCCTGCCTTCAATCAGCCAAAGAAAAAGAAGTTTGAAAAATCTTTTTATTTTTATTAAAAATAAAAGATAGCAACTTAGCTTTTAACCTCATTAATAAAATAAATGTCCATAGTCAGAATGTTAAGTTTAAAAAGTCCTTCAAGGTTAGGATTAATTATGTAATTCTCGATAACAATTTACCACCAGCAGATAAACACAAACAGTGGCCAGCAAGGACAGGGAGGTGATTGTTCCCCTCTACTCTGCTCTTGTGAGGCCCCACCTGCAGCACTGTGTCCAGGTCTGGAGCCCCCAGGACAAGAAAGACAGGGAGCTGTTGGAGAGGGTCCAGAGGAGCCACAAAGATGATCAGGGGACTGGAGCACCTCCACTACTAAGACAGGCTGAGGGAGCTGGGCTTGTTCAGCCTGGAGAAAAGAAGGCTGCGGGGTGACCTCATTGCAGCCTTTCAGTATCTAAAGGGAGCCTACAAACAGGAGGGGAATCAACTCTTTGAAAGGGTAGATAACAGCAGCACAAGGGGAAATGGTTTGAAGTTGAGGGAGAGAAAATTGAGGTTGGATGTCAGGGGGAAGTTCTTTACAGAGAGAGTGGTGAGGTGCTGGAACAGCTGCCCAGAGAGGCTGTGGATGCCCCGTGCATCCCTGGAGGTGTTCAAGGCCAGGTTGGATGGGGCCCTGAGCAGCCTGGGCTGCTATGAAATGTGGAAGTTGGTGACCCTGCATGTGGCAGGGGGGGTTGGAAATTCATGGTCCTTGAGTTCCCTTCCAACCCGGGCCATTCTGTGATGCTGTGATTCGGTATCACCAAATGATACTATACACTTACAGTTCAGGTTTCTCGCTCAGATTGAACTGTTGGAGTGTTATGTAACAGCTTTTTACTGGTACAGTAGTAAGACAGAAGAAAACAAAAATATTATCTTGAAAATAACTTTAAAACTAGGAGAAGAAAATACTAGTAAAAAGGTAATGTTTTGTGTGTGATAAAATTTGGTTGTGAAAGTAGCTGTGATATGTATGTGTTAAAAGAATTAAACAAATATCCATACAGCTATGAACTCATAAAAAATGATCTCAGCCTACCTGAGCCAATTTAACATGTTCCCACTGAAAATACTATTTCTGCAAAATGCTTCTCAAGTGTGTACTGCACCTCTATGCTCGTGGTAGCAATGGTAATGGGAGAACAGTTGGACTAGATGGTCTTTTAGGTCCTTTCCAACCTTGTGATTCTATGATTCTATGATTCTACGTTACTCAACTGATAAGCATCTTCTCAAAAAACAGTGTGAGATGATATCTTATATATGCCCCCCTGCAATTACTTGAAAAACTTTTTATAACACTAGCAGAATTCAGATCTGTGATATTTGAAAAAGCAGAAGCTACTAGGTAGCCCCACTAATAATAGTAATTATTTAAAAACCAAAAATCAATAACAAAAAATACCACCCAAACTTGCTTTACACAAGCATTATCAATGTATTAAATCTTATTTGGTCCTTTGCTTTCTTTTTCCTACAAGAACTAACAATTCTGTTTGCTAAAAGATGCACTGGGGAAGACGTGTACTGGATGTTCTCAAACCAAACCAGTGCAACACTTCAGTCTTTACAGGCAATACAAAGCAAAGTAGCTCCTGGAAACAGTGTTTTCTTTTTCTACAGAATTGCCCCACAGAAAGATGAAAGAGTCCCACTTATTACTTGTGCTCTAACTTGGAAAATTGATAGGAAAAATTACTCAGATAATAGTTTACTCATAATGCAGTTACTGTAACTTGCGTAAGCGTGGAGGACGCAGTGATGCCTAGTGGTTAGGAGACCAGACCATGTGTCAGGGTTTTATTCCTTATCTTGCCACTGCTTGCTGTGTGAACCTGAACAGTTGCTAAACATCTACTACATTTAGCTTCCCTTTCAAAGTGAGAGTAAGGTTGTGGTTTTACAGGCAGCTGAATTGCTGCAGAAAACCCATGCTGACTGTATCACACTTGTCTTTTACCTCCAGTTTTACAGAACATGAGGAATCTGCCAGAAAGGAACAAAAATTATGTGGCTTCTGTAAGTGTTTTTTGGTTTTAAACGCATGCAAGCAAGTATTCTTGTAAAATGTAATTTTCTTAATTCCCATGGTCACCACTCTCAGGGAAAGGCTGTTGCAAACTCCTGTGCAACAATGTTAGTAAGGAAGAGAAGAGATTTCACAACAGAAGTACTACTGAAGGAAGCAAAGGAAAAAAATGGTGCTGCTTTTTGTTGAGATAGAAAAGGAAATAAAAAGGAACTGAACTACAAGATAAAGAGGTAGCAGCATATGGCACTTGACATAGGCTCTTGGCCCTCCCCACGGAGGATTCAGAAGCCGAACAGATGGTTGTTTCAGCAGAGGGCACCAAAACGACAAGAACATTGTAGGGCCTTCGACTTGCTCTGCCCTGGGAGCATAAAATCTCTGATATCCCCACAGCCTCAGAATGGGCTTGTGACCTTGTTGTGCCTAGACTTTACTTATACTGCTTCCAGGCTTTTTGTTTTGTTCTGTTTTGTTTTGTGTTTCCCTCCTGCCTGAAAAGGTGCTGAATGACACTGGAAGATATACAGTTAAAGCAAGCAAGGCAAAATAAGCAAAAAGGCACTAAGGAGTACCATGAGCATCTGTGACTCTCTACTAAATCAGCCTGTAGGATTCCTAAATGTCAGTGGGATAAGGAGACTAATGAGGTGCTACAGTGAAGTGAAACTGTTCTTGAGAAATCATCAGAGGGAAGTTTCTTACCTTCCTCGCCGTTCCTTCTTTTATTATATTTTTTTTTAACACCAACTGAAGCCACAGTGTATATTTATGTAATTATTTCATTCCTAGCAACCAGAAAACACAAATGTTAACTGTACTGATATCCTGCAAATCTGTTGCACATAACATCGTAGAACTGTAGAAAGTTTTACAGATTTTTAAACAAATAACGATAACATTTGGAGAGTTACATAGTATTATCTTGCTTGTGTAAATTGAATGGTAGGGAGATAAGCATTCATGGAGGTAATACAAATCTCACACTTATGCCCTTCACATTCCATTACATCATTGAGGCTTCTCTTGTATAAATGAAATCTAAACTTTGTATGTTAATATGTTTAAGACACTGGGCATACCCTTCCACAGTGGAAAACTTTACTTTGTTTTCATCCTCTTATTATTACTTTACAGTTAGCATATGTGAATGGTTCTGAAAGTTGCACCTGAACTTTCATTTGGATGATATTCAGCATATTCTTTAATGAATATTTTTTACTTTTGCAGTTTTAACACTGGAAGGACATGCTTCTGTCTTCTGCTTCTGTCAGTGATGTTTTATAAAATGGCAGGAATTTCAGGTTTTATTAATGCATATGGTCAAGCATATGAAACTGCTGAAGACTTCCTCTAGTGTTATCTTTTATTTTATATGATATATGCAAGAGTCCTGCATATATGAAATGACAGGAACATTTTTTAATGCTTGAGGCCAGTTGGAAAAAATATTTCTTTCTTTCCTTTCATTTTGATATCACAGGTTTCAAAATGAGAAAATTTCCATTATTATCAGCTTTATAGGTCATGCAGGTAACTGAAATAGCAAACTGAAACACTGTCGACTCATTAAAAATCTTTCTCTTTTATGAAGATGGCTACTGTGTTACTGCACTGAATTTTTATATGGAAACTAATATAAATTGAATAATCAAAATGATACTATTTCACAGTTGCATTGATATTTTACCTATTTCTCTCTGTCATGTAACATAGTAGAGGGACTCATTTCTAATGAATCTGAAGGCTACTAGGTTGGCCACAAACGTAACATCTTAGAACTGTGCCAACATTGGGATCTCATTGACGAGAGGAACAAAAACAATAAAGATGAAATGGAAAACTGACACATGGTATTGCAGAATCTAAATTAATTTCTGTTGCTTTTAAGGACAAAAAGAAAAAAAAGAGAGAGAACAATGTGAATAAGTGGAGATAAATTACAGCAGAATTAAAAAGCTGAAATGAGATATGAAAACAGTAATCCTGAAAGTAAATTTTTTCTGTTTCATATGTTGAAGCAATATATCATATAGGAAATAATGCTGGATAAGTGGAGAAAGTGAACCTTAAGAATAAATTAGCTATCTCATGAGATCAACTCCTGGAAAAAAAAGAAAAAAAAAAAAAGAAGGAAGAAGCTCACCTACAAAATTCTGCATTTAAAATCCAGGACAAAGAATAATCACCTAGAAGTGTTACTCTGATGAAGATTTAAAATGGGTTATGAAATTCAGAACAGTCATCTTTGCAATGTTACTTAATAAGCATAGGTCATTCCAGATCCCACTTCTCTAAACAATGTGGTACTGTGGCAGACTATGTTGTAATACGGAAAATTGTTGTTAATGAGTAAATACTGGTAACAGAATTTACTAAGTAGTAACAGAATTAAATGTTGAGGGCAAACATAAGCTACCTGAAATTAAAACCTTTCAATAGACAGGAATAATATATAGGAACTGACTATAGGAAGTAGTAGAAGGTTCCTGAATAAAGTCCTGAGAACACAACTGAATAAAGTACTAGGATTATGTACTCTGTACCACCACCTGATGTACACTAGGAAGGAGGAGCATGGCCTAAGACCTCAACTGTTTCTAGTTTCTTCAACTTTAAACAAAGTTTGCAGAGAACACCTACCATTTTAGCCCCTGGTGCTGGCTTCTGTGTCAGAACAAGATACTAGCAACTTCAGCAAGGTTCACACTTCTAGCACAACGTTTAGGAGAGGAACCTGCAAAAGACAGCAATTGTTGGTTCAAAGTTTTCTGTGATACGAAATGTTTAACATAATAGGATGAAGTAGAGGATAATGTGCAGAGATACTGTTTCATAGCTCATTTGCAAGCAGAGGGGTTAATTAGATAGCAGTATGATGATTCAGATTTTTGTATAATAAACCATGCTGCAATTTGCCAAGTGGTTATATGAAAGATTGTGCTTCAAGACAGACTCTTACATAATTTACACAGTCATTGCGAACAAGTGATCTTTGTGTGTCATTGTAGCAAGTATTACAATGTGAACATAATGATAAAAATGTAATAATGTACTGATCTGTGTTCATCTCTGACTTCTGAATCTGGCAAACACAGTCTTGATTGATCTGGCAAAAACAGTCTTGATTAAATCATTCATCAAGATATTTAACTGTGTGAAGATGGTACAAAGAATTTCAATGCTTACAAACATTGCTTTAAATTTCTGTTGTCCTTAGGCTTTTTCATCTTTTCTGTTAAGTTCTTTGACATAACAATAAAACAGCCATAATGCTTGAGATTCACACTTCCGTATTAAACTGTGTAAGTTGCACTTCTATAGCTCACACTAAGACCCATAATTGCTGAAAGAAAGGACTAATTCAGAAAGGTTTTCTCAGTTCTCTAGGCAATAGCAGAAAAATAGGCCAAGGAACAGCTAATGGATTATTCAGAGCAAACAATTTACACCCTAGGTGGCAAATTCATTTAGAATTGAGCCTGGCTAAGTTAAAAGTGGCCTTTGCAAAGATCCTAATCTTCCATGTTCATAGAATGCCAAATGCCTGTTTTTAATATTATTTTATTCAAGCACTGATTCTTGAAAAGCATGAACTTTAATTATTGGCAGAAAACTCCAAACAGAAGTGTGATTGAAAGTGATATTATTAAAACCAATAAGTGCGATAGAATTAATATTTAGCTACCACCACCACAATTCTTGTAAAATTAATATGAAAATCATAGTAGTCTGCAATGAATAAAAGAGCCAGAAAGATGAACTGAATATTAAACTCCACATAAGCTTTCCCCTTTGTCTAAGAGGCTCTAGGTATTTGATTTCAGGTCTGTCTGCACGACGTGACCCTGCATCCTTTTGCAGGTTGCTATCTCAAGGCCCTGACTCTGAGCCTGGTTATTCCTCACCTGACATCACACTGCTTCAATGGTATATGAAGGTCACACAGTCGCCTGCTGTTGGGATGTTGAACTGACAGAGCAGTGCACGTTTCTTGCAGTATTGTGAAGCGGGTTAGCAACGCAAGGATTCCGCGTGCAGCATCCCGCACAGGCCTTACTGTGTGAATTATACACCAAAGCCTTTCCTAAAAGGAAAATAACAGAAAAAGTATCAACACGTAACTCTGTAAGACCTTTTAAAAGCACAACATCAGCTGCTAGTGCCTGTTGTAGCTCAGAACGAAGAGCTGTGCAAAACAAACCCCAAGCAGCTGCTGGGGCTCCAGCTGGACGCCCACACAGGGACATCCCTGGGGAACGCCTCAGGGCCAGTGACCCCAGCGCTGGTTCTCTCATTTGTACACAAATTCGAACAAATTCCATTGTATTTGATATCTCAGACCGTACTTCCATAGAACGAGAATCCACTCGATGCTACCCTGAAAATATCCTGATGTTAAATAGTTTTGAAATGTTCTGGGGACTAAATGTCCATCCGTTTGCACTAACTAAATGCGGCAGTTGTTAAGAACACGTATAAAATACTTCAGAATTTCTCCACTAACCAAACTAGCTCCACTATTGTGCCCCATGGGAGGGCTTGGTGGGTCCCCAACGCATTGAATCATGGAATCATAGAACAGCCTGGGTTGAAAAGCACAACGATCATCTCGTTTTAACCCCCTGCTATGCGCAGGGTTACCAACCACCAGACCAGGCTGCCACTTGTTTTTGATGGAGGATGATGGACCTTCCCAGCAGCCAGCCCAGCTCTGTGCGTTCAGGACCTCCTGAACAAAGCAGCGCACAGACATCTGAGAACGGAACAGCATTTATTTATTTTTCAGTGTAGTTTCAGGAAGAAAACACAAGCTGTAAGGCCGGCGCCGGGGGGCTCGGAGCGGGACCGCAGCGCGCCCCGCCTGACGTAAAATGGCGGGCAGGAGCCTGAGGGGCTCCCGGCTCACACGGCTCCTCAGCACGCACTGAACGCAACGAAGAGCCGAAACCTCGGTCCCGCAACCTCGCTGCGGCTGCGTGAGCGCTGGGAACGAGGAAATGAAGTAAAAGAAAAAAGGGAGGGGAAAAAAAAAAAAAAAGAAGAAGAAGAAAGAAAAAAAAAATCCAACAACAAACCAAAGGCACGGAAGGCAGAGAGCGGCGCCGCTGACAGCTCCCCCGCCTGGCCGCCCCTCGCCCCGCAGGGCCCGGCTCGTGACTCGGCTGTTTCTGCCGGTTCCTCCTCTCCCTCCGCCCGCCGGGGGCCGGGCGCAGGAAGGGGCGG